TCCCCACACCCCCCCCCCCCCCCCCAATGTTCAGTTCACTTAGTTTTACAAGACGATGCTAGTTTTATCATCTCGTAATGGTTTAATCTACTTGGTTTTGATTAAAATCGACTAAAGAAAAAACTTAGTTTACGCTGGAATAGGAATTTTGTTTCATAATTAAAGTTGATTATGAATTCTTTCTAACATTACGCGACCACCATTTTAGAGTTTTTATAGAAGCTAGAAGGTATATGATGAAATAATAGAATGTGTTCAGAAAGTATGATATTAAGTTTATGTAATAAAGGGAACGCAGTCGATGATTCGATTGGATGGAAACATATTTAGTGGTATTTCAATTTTACTTGTTAAATTAGCATCTGGCGTTACCGGAATGTTCATTTTTTTCATGATATTGTGGTATACTGAAAAGAAGGTATTTGAGTCAGTTCCGAGATGTAAGTTGGATCGTGAGAAACATGAAATGTGCTCAGCTTTTCCTTTGAGTATGTTTGATGAAGCTCGGCTTTTCTTCTACAGTATTACTCACCATGGGAATCATTTTCAATAAGTATCATGAAAAAAATCTCGTAGGAATAGTTTATAGATGAGAGAGAACTATCAATCTAGGGATAGATGCTGTGCATTTGGTGATACCGCTATGTATTCATGCTACACGCATCATCGATATGTTGGTCCTGTTTCCGATGAATGCAATGTTGGTTTTTTGGGTACTGAGCTATTTTTTTTCCTGAAAACTAGGAGTTTTCGTAACATAATATGAACACTGTTATGATCCATTAATACAATACGGACGAATTTCTAGGGAACCAAATAACATGTTTCATACAAGAAAGCCATCCTTCTGTTGAGAGATAACTTTTTCGAGAATATTTCTTTTACTGTTGCCGTTAGTAGGAAAGCAAATAAATCACTAGTTTATAGCATGGCATTGTGAAACGTGAGAACTGAGCTCAATACATCATGTTATCGGTTAAGATGCTGTGGTTTAAAAGTGCAGAGAAGTAAAAACGGACGCGTTGAATTGCTTTATCACTTATCATTACAAATCAAATAGTTAGAAAAACTCTTGTTAGAACATTTATAACTTGCTAGTGAATGTTTTATTACAATATAAGTGTGCAGCATAAGTCTGAACATTAAAATCAGAGAATTAGTATATTTTCAGGATTTCTAAAAAAAGAACTACAAACATCCATGATAGATAAGATTTTTCGATTATTTTTAGTTTTTTGAAGTTTCTCATAACACAGTTTTTCTATAACAAGTAACGGGTCGGCTCCATGAGCCTCGCTTAACTCAATCCTGAAAGTGCACGATAGAGGCAATATGATCATACTCTGAAAAACAAAATGATACCGTAGATGGTAGCAGTATAACTATGATTTGAGGCTCGGATTAGAGTTGCCCGTACGCTTTCTAAAGATACACAAAGGTAGCTTTATTTTTGTGGAACTCACATATGTTTTCGACGAAAATAGTGAGCGTGGATTTGATGTCGAGGTTTTCTGACCACCCGTCCACGCCCTACACATTCCACGTTCAAATTGAATAAGAATCAGCTTAATGATTCCGATCTCACCCTTTCTAAAAAATAACTCCTGCATACGCTGGTAAAACGACGAATTAGGTAAACCAAACCAGCTCCGCGTCATTCGAGTACCGCACTCTTTCCATTAGAAAAAATCCCTACTGTAGCCTTCTTACTCCAAGTTTTTCAAAACATTAAGTGAATACAGTTTCAACAAAATCACATTTCCTTATGGAATTACATGTCATGTTAGTCGATCTATAACGTATATGTACTGCCATCAAGATCGCATAGCATACGGGAACGGTACCATTTTCGCGTCACGAAGATATCAAATAATTTTAGAACTCTTTACGAGGGATTCTTTAGAATATGTTCTTCAAATCGTTTGGGAGCGAAAACTATCTATATAATACCACCACTTTTTAGAAAGAACTTCTGTCTGTCACAGATATAAATGAAATTTTAAAGATCTGATCGCTCTACTGACTCGATTCAAAAATCAACTCGTGGCTTCGTAAATAAAATAGACCTACAGATCAGACGAGAATATACGAAAAAATATGTTGGAATAAAATTTTTTATTGGGACTGTCACGACGTGGTTCACCAGAAATGGCTATAGTCGCGATGTCACCCTTTTCTCAGGAAAAAAACGTAATACAATCAATTTTTATGCGTCGTTCATTTCCCACCCAATAGATCTTAAGTAGTGAAATTCGACCTTGTTATTTTCGAGTAAAATTTAAGACAATGTGACAAGAACTCTTATAATCTGTTTGAAAAATAAATCACGAGAACATTGTTTCGATGAAAACATTACGAACAAATATATGGAGTAAAAAATAGCTCTGCACAAAACGACGCAGTCACACTTGCACCGCTCAGCGGAAGCAGTAGTGATAGAGATTTCTGATAGCATTCACCAACTAAAACAAATCATTTGCAGTTGGGCCGATCTTGAGGGTGTGGGTGTCGGATGCGATTGGACGCAGGGTCAACACCCACACCCACACCCAGGTAAAGGAGTTCAGTTTGCCATAATAGGTGGTTCTCCTTCTTTGAATTATTATTCAAAACAGTTGCAACAATAGGCTTTTAAAACAGAAAAAAATGATTTGCAGCTTATTGTTTTGCAAAACCATATGTGCACATACTGCGTCTTTGTTTTCTTTCTGCTCTTCACTTCATACGTGCGTGTGAAACTCATACAATATAACTGAGTGTACCTTAAGGTATTAATTCCATTAGTACTCTTTCTTTCTCTGTGTAAATGTAAACAAAAATGTATGGAATACATCCATTTCAAGTAAATTTCAAAAGCAAGAACAGCATCACTATTTAATCATATTCAAACGATGCCCACCCTTACACAATCAAGCAGGGGTATATTCCTTCCACAGTATAAGACCATAGCCAAAGTGAGTGTATCTTCACTGTTTTCTGGTAATATTCTCATTTACCCACGCTATTTGTTGTTCAGAATCAGTCACCATCAGTCATCAAAGTACTGGATGTAGAGACTGTAACTACTATTCCTGAGAAGACCGGCACACCATTGAAATTTAGAAAAGCTATAATAATTGGTTGTGCATCAATTCTGATTATTATAACTGCAATAGTTGTATTTCTTCTATTGAAAAAGAATTCGTCATCATCGTCAAGTAAGTGATGTGTGACAGTAGTAACTCGGATAAAATCTCTCGATTACATGATGTGTTCTTATTTTCCACTTTCTAGCTACAACATGTCAAAATGGGTGAGTCTTTTCCTTTATACTCTCCCAGCTCTTTTTATTCTCTCTTAGAGGCGCCTTACTTTCAAATGGTTCATGTGCATGTAATAACTATACAACAGGCACATACTGTCAAACGCCGCTCTGCCTTGTGGCTGGTTTCTTTTCAACGACCTGCTTAAACGGTGGTACATGCACGTACAGTACATCAACGAGTACAAGTATTTGTTCATGCGTTTCAAGCCTTTGGACAGGTATGTGGACGCGTTGAGGACAGACACAAAACTTCAACTTGATAGCCATTAAAACTGCTTTTTTCATCTTTCTAGGAAGTTATTGTCAAACCCGTGAGTTTATATTTGACTTCGAGAGGACAACCAGAAGAGCCATTTCTCTTTCCCGTATGCGTTCTTTTAGCTCTATGTTCTAATTGTAATAATAACTGCGGTCATGGTTCTTGCAATTCACCGTCGAACTGTTATTGCAATAGTGGTTACCAAGGAACATGCTGTAACTCGACAATTACGAGTGGTCAATGTCTGTCTCTGAATCCAATGAGCACAACCTCTTGGGGTGGGTAGAGTCAGTTGAAGGCTATCTCAACTGTTATTCATTTGAAAAAAGCTTGTTAGCGCAGACCCTTTGTGGCTGAAATGTGGTACTCGCATATTCTCTCTAGCCTTATTAAACTAATACAAAATATGGAAAACTAAGAAACCTCTCATAGACTATTGTTGTTTTGTAAGATAATCGAAAATCAGAGTCAGCACCTTTCTAATATCTGTGTTTCAAATAGGATTGCTTTTCTACAGGCACCCTACTTTGTATTTTTCATTTTTTAAATCGTTTTTCGTAATTCAACATTTCTATTATTATATTCATTGAATGAATTGGTAAATAAATCTATTTCATATATTCATGATAGCTATAGAAGAGATTTTAAGTACTGTTATATATGTTAATCAGCTCACAAACAACGATGTTGATTATCTTTCAAAAGTGTAACTTGATCAATTTTTCGAAGAAACTAGAAAGTCTGTAATGGGGACAGGGGAGCCACGAAAACTTAACCTTAAAACTTACGCTCACTATTTTCTTCGAAAGCATATGTCAGTTCCACAAAAATTATTAACTTTTATCTTTACAGGCGGTGGGTTTAACAATACTTTCTATGGCCACGAAAATGATGTGCTTAATGCTTCCTGTGCAACAGGACAAAGCCTTACAGTTGCTGCATGTTTCTATGGTATTAATAGTGCTACTCCTGGATGTGGTGGATCGACAGTCTCGGCAAACTGTTTCTCTATGGATGTTACATCTACATGTGTTGCACTATGTAATCCGAATTATTGCTATTACACAATTGATAATGCAAATTTTGGCGACACATGCTTTGGGCTAGTGAAAACATTTTGGATGTATTTTACATGCTCGTAATTCGAGACAGACATATCAATTGTTGTGTATATTCTTTTAAAGTTCCAGCTTCCGTTAACTAAAAGTCCATAACAAACTGAAGAAGCGGCGATCTTACTTCGAGTTAATAGAAACATTTTTACAGTACTGATGGTAGGTGTGGTTGTATGAATGTGGATGAGAGGATGCCAGTATTGGTGTGACTGTCTGTCTCTTCTTCATCAACATCTACACCCATACTCTCGTTGAAATCAGACTTCAAAGGGCCATGTTTCATGAGAACAATGAATTCATTTAATTGAACATGATATAAATGAAATTTAAAGATTCTCCCAGCAATATTTCTTCTCATAAAATCTATTAATCTGTTTTTCAATCGAATTTATCAACACTTGCTAATACAGTTTCGCTTCATCTGAGTATATAGAAATGAATTCTATTTCTTTTACACATGAAAGCTTCATGATGAGAGTATGGGTGTGACTTTTCTCTTAGTCCACATCCACATCTTAGTTTCCTATAAATGAAAATATAGTATAGAAGAGAAGAGTTCGAAAATTTTATTTGAATTTAGTATCAATAATAGATATATTAGTCCACATGATAAAATATTCGCTCTCTAGCCGAGTTATTTATGAATGAAAATTGTCAAAGTCTTTCCAAAATAATTTTGGATTCCAACGGTGCTGTTTGCGAGTTGCACCCTTGGACGAGTGTCATGTGATCTTAAATAGTTCATGTCAACTGTTTAATGAGTTTTCATCATCAACAGGTTTTTGCTCATGATCAAAAACGTCACATTGTTGAGCTAATTTTCGATCTTGGGTTGAATTTGATTTCTTAGTTGACTTAAACGGAAACAGTTTAGAATTATCTTTGACTGCTGCTGCTATGTTCGTCAGCAGGACATTCTGCTGGTATTCGAGACCATTGGGCGGTAATCGTTGTTGTGGACGATATTCTGCACTTTGACACAAAGATAATTGCGATATGAAAGATGATCGACGTTGAGCATTCATCAGTATACTCATCCGACGCCCATTCTGTTGCGATGCAACGATAGAAACAGACGAAGCATTTGATTGTCTTTTACCACTTGCGCTTTTCAGTTCAGAAGAGTTTCGCTTCATTTTCACAGCATGTAAGTATCTTGTTTTGAATTGTTAAAATTGACGACTCGTATTGATCAATAATGAAGATTAGTGTCGTTTTAAAATAAGAATGAATATTCAAGACTTCTTTCTGTAGTATTTTATACAAAAAAAAAGAGCAAATAAAATTCGAGCACTTGAAGATAAGAATATTCTATCATATTGTTCTGTTTTTTAGTCATGTATCATAAACATAATCCAGGTAATTTTTATGCTGTGATACGTAAGTTCAAGTTATGAATGAGTCAAATAAAATTACTGATTTTTAACAACCTGTTTTTTTTAACTTAGAATTAATCAGAAACGTTCATTCTGCTTATTGAAAGACATTTTTCTGCAAAGTCATATTATCATTCAAATGAAGATTTACTACTTGTTGGAGTTTTAAAAGTACCAACTAGTTATTACAAAAATCTGCTCTGCTAAGCACTTTATCAATAAGAATTAATTTTTTTTCAGTTGAATAATTTCTTAGACGATTTTCAAACCTATTAATTTGAATTTGTTTCGTATTTTGAAATCTAGGCCTAAATTAAATATTTGTCATTATTAGACTTTGACCAAACGTTATCATTAGTAATAAATGACTGTTGCAGAAAAGCAAAGTCATAAAATACTTCTGAATCTATCTGCGCATAAGTGGTATGACAATAAAGTGATTATTATCAATTATTTTATTATTTACTTGTGAGTTGATCATGAAAACAATTGTAATATATCTTGCATAGTCATTCAACAACGCCTTCCATTCCATTTGCTCTATTCACTTCTGTTCATAGATGGAACCGGTCGAGTTTTTTCCGCCCGGACCGGACCGGCCAGTTACCGGCCGGTCTATATTAATGCTAAAACTGGCAAAAAACCGGCGGGTCTTTTCATGTAGTTTGGCCAAATTTCAGTATTTGTATGTATTTATATGTATTTCAGAAATACAGTAATATGTAAAAATAAATTGGAAATACATAGAAATTCGTAAAAACACTTAGAAATACTTTCGAAATAGATAGAAATATGAAAATACAGAAATACGATTTTCCCCCTTTGAGTTTGAATTGTCGAAAACAGTATAAATGTAGTTTTGAAAGTATAACTCATACTTCAAATATTAGAGTATCGCCTTTCACATACTCTATAAGACTATGCAACTGCTGCATAGTCTTATAGAATTAAAATAACACAAATTTTGTATAATATCATTTACAATTTAAGATTAGAATTTTATATTATCCACATGTAAACCTTAACTGTCCTTGTTTACGTCATCTACAGACCAAATATTTGACGTTCTATAGAAATGTGACTAAAAAATTGCGCAGACTGGCCGGTCTGACATCTCCGCCCGGACCGGTTCCATCTATGCTTCTGTTCCTCTCCTCGTACTTCGTTTATTCTTTACCATCATAACCACTGAGAGTATTTCGTCATTAGTATTCCTGTTTGTTACTGTACAAAATATCCTTTTTTAATGGCATAGAAATATCATGGCAATGTTGTTGAACAACATTGAAAAATATTCCTTTCATAGAGTGTTGATTTTCTGAAGTGTGTTTTCGTAAGTCAGAGAAAAAAATCATTGCTGACAGTGGAGAAAATGCGCCAGTCTCCGATCGCTTCGAGAGTTTTTACAACTTTAATGGGAGAAACTACTTAAAGATACCTTGTGCAAACACATCGTCATTGAGCAAAGACGACGCAGATAAAATATGCGCATTACTCAACCTTTTTTTCATCTCGAAATAATGATTTACACGATACACAAAATACAGTGAAGACTGGTTTTTTTCTTTCAGTTGAAATCGTGATCAAGCAAACCTTTTTGATTTCTGAAAAGAATCTACTTTTATGTGTCTGTTCGTAATGCAGCGCATACCTTGTGGAGTTTCGCGTGGCACCTTTTTTGTTTTCAGTGTAGTATTTCTTGACAAGCTGCAAACTATTCATGTATGATAGAATACATGTTTGTAACAGAGGACATGCAAAAAATCAGCATAAAAACATGAAGTCATAGAATTATGATGTTGAAGTCTACAGATTATTCGATCATGCATTCAAGCCTCCTTAAATTGTCGAATATAGTTCGTGTATAACGATGATAATTTATGAACTACATTTCTATGACAATCGATCAAGTTAGAACAACTGATTCAAATAGTATTTCCTAATGTAAAGCTGTCGTTTTATCTCCATTGCATGCTGAAAACGTGTTGAAATGGATTCATTTTTATAGATCCGAATCTTGTTCTCGAATGTTTTAACGGCAGTGTTTTTACTTTCAGCGGCGTTCTCTAGTTTTTAAAAATAAAGAAACAATAATAAAAATGATAATATTTATTAAACGTATAACTATATGACTTGTCGTTGCTTTGTCGTATGCGTATTATACTTGTAATCACAAATGAAATTTTCTCTTCTGTCCAAGGTTGTTATACTTGCATAGTTATTAGTCACACTGAAGAAAGAATATTCATCATTATGAAAGTCTCGCAATATTGTTTTTCGCTCTGTGAATTATAGTCTATCACATACTGTTTCCAATGAAAATAGACAAGAAGAAAGGCATATATTCATAACATATAGGTAGGTAGATTCAATAGCATGAAATTTGGTAATGAAAAAATATTCGATCAACGAACTGAGTTGTCTGCTCCTGTACAGCGTTTAATTAAAGTAAGAGAGCAACACTGAAACTTCGCTCCTCTAACTTGTTTTGATTGAAATCATTGTTAACAGTCAGAGGGAAAATCTTGAAAATCAAGATAGAAAAATATTTTCTTTGTGATAAAATATCTGGTGTATAATTTTGTAAATCCTTAGAATTTTTATCAAATTTTAGAGAAAAATATCAATGAGTGCAGCTGAAATTTTAAACAGCCCATGAATATTTCGTTTTATGTGGATGGAAAACTACCGATATCAATTGGAATCTTCGGCGATTTCATTATTTTTGCATGAATGTTGATGTTTTTGTGCAAAAATACGCAATGTGACATTAAACAAAGTTTGCAACACAATTACATGATAGTTTGTTTTGCGTGAAAATCTTTTCGTTTCTGCACTAAAATGAGTATGTTTTGAAAGTTACTCATCGATTGGATTCTGTTCGTAATTGTCAAGCATTAAACAATACGGCTATAAGACAATACGCATCAGTGAACGACGAAGAAGTTGAAAACACAATAAAGTGTGCTAGGCAATATTTTATGCCTTTGAAGACTAGACATAAACTGTAGATCCTACGGAATCACTGAAAAATGAGTGGAATGCCGAAAGATTTTGTTTTATGCATAACTATTCAACTGATTTATAATAAATCATTTGATTTCTCACTGAAAAGCGTTTAAATCATCTTATTTGGCATAAAAAATGTAATATTTTCCATAGGCTACACAATGCAATGTTATCGAATTTACTCAGTTGAAATTCTTGTTCTTTTTTCTTCGAGCAGCTATGATTCTTTGGATAGGGAACGAAATAGATTGTTGCCCGACATGTACATCACTTGGTATCTCTACGGGCAATTGGCATATATACATATTGCTTCTTTTTTTTATTAATTTGTTTATTCATGCACGAAGTAAACAAATTTTAGATTAAATTTTGATGGCCAAAAACTATCGGATCTATACTCTTTACCAGTTTATATCATTATTAGGTTAGATCAAATACTGAATAGACAAGTATAAATCTTGTGTTAAACTCGTCTGGTGAGTTAAATTTACTGGTAAAAATTTCCCAAAAGTACAGCTTTAATGTGTTTATAATATATTATGGAATTAATATTTTCATGCTTGGAAATATCAAAAAGATGTTTCTATCGATGTTTTATTTTTCAAAGGTAATCACTTGTTTTCACTGGTGGATAAAGAAAATAAGAATGCATTCTTTTAACAAAGATCATTTATTCATGTAGAAATGCCATTCTTCCTCTTGCATTCTGGCACGCGTCACCAATGTTACATCTTCGTGTTTAGCCGGTTGTCTTAAATATTTTCGTTTGTGCTGGAAAATCTAGTTGCTGCGAAATCATGAACCAAGAATAATCGAACGACTTTACCCTATCTGCACATGTGAATAATGTTAAGAATTAAAGCAATTCCATGTAAATTTTTTTTTTTGGTTTAAATGTGTCTCTGAGCGTCTGTGGGCGATGGTGCTAGGGATACGCCAATTTCTAGGATATAGTATTAAAGCGGACGTTTTTTACCGACGAGCAATGCATTTGTTTGCGGTTTTTTTATATTAGCGATATCCATTTTGTTTTCGCTCTATCCAAAACTATTGTCAGAATTTATGAAATATAGAACAAAAGACTGCAGAATTGACCTGAAATAGACAGAAAATTCGACTTTTTAAAGTTTGATGTATAATTATTCTTATGTTTGTTTATTTCCATTGAGGATAACTTTATTTCATATAATAAAAACGAGTGAAATAAAAAATTGGTCAGATTATCAATGTATTCCAGTACCTTCTTGGTTTTTGATTATATTGATAATGTTTATCGTCTCAAAAAGCTGGGAATAGTTCGATACAGCTACTCTTATATGTAACGAAAAATCTTTGGAAAAAAATTGGCTTTCGTAAATTTATCATCATGTAATGGTATTTTTATTATTTCAATGTCTTATGAAATTGCACACCGTCAAGAAAAAAATGTAACATTATCAAATGATTTTGATCGTACAATTATGTATTATCATTTTTCTTTTATTTTGCCAAAATTATTACTTCTTATAGTTAAAACGATCAATTCCATTTCACATGTCACACTAATTTCATTCTTTTCATACGAGCATTTCATCAAACATAAAAATTAAACCTTCTTCACACAAACCAAAATTAAACGAAAGTTACAGCTAAATGCGCCAGTGTTTACGATGCTAGTTTGTTTAATTTGATTAACTCGATTACTTTGAATATACTGTTTGATCAGTATAGCTTTCATATATAAAAAAAAGCTATCGAGATACACATCATACGCATGGGCTATATCCCAGCTGTTATCTTTTCAAGCGACATCTTTTTTGTTTTGTTTATCTCTTTCTGCACTATCTTGAAATAATATGTTCCTAAAATAATCAGAGAAGAGATATGCTAGAAGTTGGATGACTAATTCTTATGTCTACAAATAGCCAACGAGATTTTAGTGGTGCATGAATGCATCAAATTGAGACACATACATGCTAAAGGACTTGTTAAATATAATGGCGACGGCAAACACGTGTGATGTCTCGTTAATAAAACTTTGCCGTGTTGCCATATTCGTCGTGATGTATACTTTTGCGTTCTGTGTAAAAATAAAATATTGCACAATCATGATGAAGGTTATTGACATATTGAAAATAAACAAGTCGGCGTGGAGAGAAAAAGCTTTTTCCTCAACATTCGTTGCAACGACAAGCATTGTGTCGCATACAATTCACATTTATGGCTAATTCAACTTCATCATCTCTTCTGAAATTACCTGTCGAGCTTGTTTATCGGATTCTAGAAAATCTCGATTACTTAACGATTCTATGCTCAGTTCATAACGTCTGTACACGACTGAATATGATCACGGACGCATATCCTGCATATAAGGTAAATTTCACTTTTATGATGGACTTCGCCCGGACTTATTGCATCTTAACAAAAGATTGTGATAAAAAAAGTGACTATTTGAAATATTTTTGTTAGTGATCATACATGTCAGAAGGAAATTTGCATGAGTTTTAAGGCGATGGTTTTCGCAACAGCCTTCCAGTAAACTGATCCCGATAACTAAAACCTGCTCTCGGAAATTACCGATTACTGTAATTAAGGTTCTATTTATCTCTGCATCATTACAGATCTTAGAAATTATGTGCATTCTCTATTTTGCGCCATAGGGACTGCGCTAATAAGCTCATTAAACTGTTTTTCCAAATGTAAAAGCTATTCTATTTAAAAATTACTCAAAATAAATTTACCTTTTTTTTTCTAAATGGTTATAAGTGTTACTAGAGTGAAAGTTTTGTCAGTCAGTTTCTTCATTTGTCGGTCTCTCATTTTTATTTTACTAGAACAACATTTCGATTAAGCATTCTCTGAACAGCTAAGATTGCTTCGCCAAAAGAGATTTCCCTGAAATCGAAAACCCCATTCAAGCAGACATTTATTAGAGAAGCCATCTTAGCTCTCAAAAAAGAACGGTACTATTACATGCAACCTTGATATATAAGTTTAACCGTGTAATAAGGAAAGTTAATATGGCTTACTAGTAATAGTTCACTTTATAAGAAAGCATGAAAAACAACGTTTTCAGATTTTTGCGAAAGGTACAGGATCTAACAAAGAAGTTTCCGATTTGTCCTGGAAAAATACAACGACTAGTTGCCAGTCTGGCAAGTAGAATGACTCATGAATACTGTGAACACTCACATTGGATACCCTAGTTAACTATTGTACTGACCCTAAAAAAATCCAATCGTAACGCTGATGCATTACAACATATAATAACGATTTCCAATGTCTTCTCAACTATTATTTGAACTCAATTACTTTTTTTCGTACAGACAATCGACACACTTGACCTCAGCGCTGATCGAGCCGGGAACATACAACTCACACGGATCATTGATGCATTACAACATAACACAGTGATTCCCAATCTCTCCTCAACCATCGCATATACTGCTGCATTCTTTGTTTTTCACAGACAGTCACTACGCTTGTTGGCAGAGATCATAGAGTCGGAGACGAGGAAGCCGCACGTATTGCCAGCATATTACAACAGAAAACCGTAATTTCCAGTCTCCTTTCAACTGCTGTATCGATTTCTTGATTTTCTTTTCGCACAGGTACTCACTACACTTGATCTAAGAAATAATGGAATCAGTGTAGAAGGAACGAAACAGATTGCTGATGCATTACAACATAACGAAGTGATTTCCCATCTCTCTTTAACTATTGCATATATTTCTTTATTCTTTTTACACAGACACTCACCACGCTTGATTTATGCTGGAGTCAAATTGGTGTAGATGGCGCCAGGCGTTTCGCTGATGCATTGCGACATAATAAAGTGATTCACGCAGTCTCTCTGCAACTATGGCATATAATTCTCCGTTCTTTTTTTTGTATAGACACTCACCACACTTCATCTCAGAGATACTGGTCTCGGTGATGAGGGTGCCACATTGATCGCCGATGCATTAAAACATAATACAGTGATTCCTATTCTCTTCTGACCTATCGCATAAAGTTCGCCATTCTTTTTCACACAGACACTCATCACACTTAATCTAAGATATAATAGAATCGGTGCAGTAGGAGCCACAGGGATCGCTGATGCATTAAAACACAATACAGTAGTTTCGAGTCTTCCTCAACTATGGCATATACGTCTTCGTTTGTTTTTGTCCAGACACTCACCACGCTTGATCTAAGTGTTAACGCAATCGATGATGAGGGAGCAACACAGATTGCCGATGCCTTAAAAACTAACAAAGTAATTCTTAGTCTCTCTTCGCTTATCACATATACTTTGTCATTCTTGTTCGTACAGACACTCACTACACTTGATCTAAGATCTAATGAAATTGATGTTGATGGTGCCAGCCGTATGGCTGATGCATTACAGGAGAATACAGTAATTTCCAGTCTTTCTTCACCTGTCTCATCTACTTTGTCATTATTTTACGTACAGACACTCCGCATGCTTGATCTCAGTGTTAATGTGATCGGTGTAGAAGGAGCCACAAAGATCATCAATGCATTAAAGGATAACAAAGTGATTCCCAATCAATGTTCAACTACCGTATTTTATTTTTCATTCTTTTTCACACAGACGCTCACCACACTCATTCTCGCTAATAATCACATCGGTAATGAGGGAGCCACGGAAATTGCTAATGCATTGCCGCATAACAAAGTAACTCTCAATTTCTCATCCACTATAGCATATAATTCTTTATTCTTTTACGAACAGACACTGACCACGCTTGATCTCACTAATAATCGAATTAGAAACGAGGGAGCCAGGTGCATTACTGATGCATTACAACATAATACAGTGAATCTCAGTCTCTCTTTAACTATCGCACATACTTTTCTTTCTTTTTCCACAGACGCTAACCAAACTCAATCTAAACTTTGAAAATGTTACAGATGATATTCGTAACCAGTTTGAAGAACGCTTGAGACAAAATCAACAACAGGAAATGGCTGTCTGTTGAACCGGCGATGACTTGGCGGAAAGATTAAAGGATGGGACCATTGACTTTTATTTTCTTTTAGTTTTTTCGAGTTTTCGAATAAAAGATAAAACATAATTTTTAGTGATCAACAGGCTTGAAATTAATCAGATGACATCGTTGTTATCTTGATGTAGGAAAAACTGTGGATTGGATTCTGGGTTGAGCGATTTCACAGATTGTGCTATATTATTTATTACATATTCACAGCATTGCTATTAATATGCGGTTCAGTAATCGCAAGGTTTTTGTTGAAGCAAACCCTTTACACCCAACTCGCAATATTTGATCCTCCGCGCATGGCCTTCGATTGTTAATAAGATCGTCAGACGTTTGTTTGTTAGAATGCTTTAATCGAAATTTTCTAAAATTCAGCTGAAAATCTTTGAACGAAACAGTTCATGTTATCTCTTAAAAGTGGTTAATATATGAAATTTTATGAACTCATGTAATATTTCAATGTTTGTTTAGTCGATGATAGTAATTTTCCTTTCATTTTACTAGATCCTCTTGATTCTGAAATACGTTGAACTTTCGAAATGGCATATCTATCATATCATAGTTGATAAACTGTTCTGCTAACGCTTAGAACGAGCTCATCGAGTGTAAAGGCATTCTCTATGTAGTCTTCGCATGTTCATGAAAAGTATAGTTAACATTGGTGGGATGAATTAAACGGGTTTTCGTTTGATTGAATAGTTCTCTTCTGTGATATCTGATTGATTTTGAAAAAAGAAGGCATTTATCAAATAGTTTACTTATTCACTACACCGTTAGTTTAATCTAAATTATGATTCAAATGATTCATTAACACCCAATTCAATATTTCATAGAGTATCTTGTAAAAGCGCATCAACACAGCCTATTTGTACACGATTTAATTCTATTTTTTGCTGAAAAGAAATGTTCTATGTTGGCGAAGATAAGAACGATATGAGCAAATACATATCGAATACCGAAGAAGAAGAAGAAGAAAAATATGATGACTGAGAACGCTTTCATTCATAATCATCACATAAGAACGCTTGAAAATAGCGAGTAAACCTATGCTGATGATACGCAGTCACGCCATAATTATTTTTCGCATACTTTGAAGAGAACATTAAAATTCTCTTTGAATATTTATTTAATTTGAATGATTTTTAATAGGTTTGCTCATTCGATATGTTCACATCTACATATAAATTCCGTTTTATTTTTTCTTAAATTAACTTTTCAAAATTCATTTTCCTATATTCTCAGAAACATCGGTATATGGTCGATATTTGAGTAGAAGCAAATGGCATTATTTCTCACCTTTTTATTGACAACAACATATTTTATGATAGAAATACATCTGATTCATTCTGATTTCAAATCATGGATAACAATTGTGTCATTTTTTCTTCAAATTTTACTGAAAAGATATTTTCTCAGTTTCTGATTGTAGAAGAATAAATTGACCATATCACCAAGAAGACTTAAAATAGGCAAAATAGTGACAATTCTTTGAATGGTATGCGGAATGGCCGAACCTGTCCAGTTGATTACTGCTATAATATAGATAGGTGCCCAGCCACTTACAAATATACTAAACATGATAAACATATATTTCAGTAGATATGTATCGCGACGACGTTTCACAGCTGTTGAAAAGTCAGCGCCCATTGGTTGAACTATACGAGATAGTTGTATGGTACGTACGAAGAAAATTGCATTGATAATTATAATGAAAAATGTTGGTAATACCACAATAATTATCAAAGTATATATTTGATAGTCAAGCATGAGGCCCGTCAGTAGACAATGCTAAATAGAGGCATCAAAGAATTCTTTCATAATTCCGAACAAAGAAAAATATTCACATTCCGCTAGTTATTAGTATAGAAGCAAGCATCCGATCAAAATGCAGCCCTACCTCAATATTAGATGCAAATGTAGGCAGTGGTATTGTGATTGCAGTCAACCATTGAACTCCTATACAGAGAGCTATGCCACGTTTTGTACGGAAAAGTGATGTTTGTCCATATATAATTGTAAGAAGTCGATTTAATGACACAACACACATCGAATACGTGACTAGACAATTAACCATTGTTTGCCCATAGATTATTAACAAGCAACTTTGTGGTGTCCATAATACATTTGGGAAAAAGAAATCCATGAAAAAATAGAAAGTCCAATATATAGTGCAGATTATGGCTGCCACACAAACATTTAAAGCCAATAGATGATTCACTTGATGAAACCGACGAATACAACAGCTTAAACACGCATAAATGCATCCACAAAGTAAAATAAAGATTAGAAAAATGATGCAAATAATGACGAGAATAAGTTCGACTTTTTCTTCTTCCATTCGGAGATATTGTTGATTTACACAAATGATAATCTGAAAAGAAACTACAATGCGAGGCGCATGTGTGTCTAATTTTCTATTTGTTCACGATGGCTTGATCGTTCAATCATAAATATATCACATAGGGAAAGCTTCCAGCGAGGAATTTTTGTCCTCGAGTAATCAAAGCAGGTCATCAATCGGATTTCGTTTGACCTATTCCTAATGTAAACAATCAGAGATGGTTATATATGCATAGGATTGAATAATTTATTTATATGGTTCTTAGACGATCAGGATGCATATTCATTATTCATTGACGATACACTTACTGTAGATAAAGAAATTGTTTTAGTCAGTCGCCAAAAAACATTATCTAGTTCTCTCTTTCTTTGCCAATCGAAGTACTCATTAATGTTGACCAGTGAGCCAGAAAGTATAATCAACTGAAGAATCAAGTAAAATAGATAGAAACTAATATATACCTCTGTTTCTGCGTTGAATCAATCATTACTATTAATTAAGTTTTGTTGAATCGAGTCATTCTTTTTTCAGTTGTTCTTAATCTCTGAAATAAAATAAATCTTGGAAAATAGTTTGATAAAGTAACAACATGCAAATTCATCTTCATTTGAAAACTAACATTCCTTGTTCAGTGAGTGGAGGAATAAGAATTTTTTGTTAGATTGATAAGAAGAGAAAAGATTTTGTCAGCGTCTGGAAAAATTTGGTCACTGATATTTATAATGTTATTTTTTTAGTTTTATTAAAAGACGAGAAGAATTATTATTCAACTGTGCAGTTTAAATATAATTGAGCGGTCGCGATTTTTCTGCTATAACTGCTCTCAGATTTTGACATCAAAAGGAATTAGATTAATAATAACTATTATTGACGTACATCTCTTCTATATTTAGATGTTGATTATAAGCATCGCTCAACAGAGTATGAAAATGAATCAGCACGTTTTATTTAACAAAAATAACATTCAATTTATAAATTCTATGGAAAACAAGACTAGATTATGATGTAGTTGTTGTTAGAAGAGCTGTAAATTCTTTAAAAGGCAACTTATTCGAGTTTATATAAATATGAATGATGATAGATCCCTTTCTAGGCAACAATTTTACACACATACACACTATCCATCGAATATAGCGCAAAAATCTTGTTATTGTTTCATCGCAATAGTTATATCAATATACTAGACAATATCAAATCTATGAAATGAGTCTTTTTTATGGATTTGTTAAATGTGAATTACACATATATCAGCGTATTCAAATATCACCAACTAATATGAGTAGCTGCCTAATTCGACTTCGAATATAAATGCAGAAACAAACTGCTTCCATGTTTTCACGCCACTGTCAGAAATAGATTTAGATTGTACAAATTATAAATTTATAAATGAAAGTTTTTCTTTCGCTTTTTTGCTGCAATTAGCATGGGTGTTTTTTTTTGTACTTATATTCGAAGTGGTAATGATTACTTCATTCTCCATTTATAATCGAATTCGAATTAGGCAACTCATGTGTAGACCCGTTGTCCGCTTTTCCGCACACCCACAGTTGCTATGTTGTGTTTGTGTGTAGACCAGCGTATGTCCACCTTTCCTCGCACCCACGCCGACACCCTCCAACCAAATCCTAAAAAAAAGGAAATCTAAATCTATTCCTAACTTATAAATGGGAGTGATGTCAATTTATAAATTTATAATTTATAAAATTTAAATTTAAATCTATTTCTATATCCTGAATTGTAAATGTGAGTGATGTCAATTTGTAAATTTATAATTTATAAAATGGAAATGGAAATCTATTTTTCTATCCTGAATTATAAATGGTCGCATTTTTTCCATTTATTTTCGAATTGTGAATAGTTATTCGGATGTCAATTTATATTCGAATTCGAACTAGGCATCTCATGGCTAATATAGTCTTTGTGTGAATAAATCTAATTATATTATGGTAGCATCAAACAATGGTAATATGAAAATCAGCGAGGATACAAAATGTAATTTTCATCAATAAAAGTTTATATGGCATACTTGATTTAAACAAATGATGAATTACACAACAAGAATAAAATATTGACTATTCTCAAAGTATGATAAATCGATAAACATGACGGAAACTACATCACCACATTTTAGTTAAATGGAATAGTAGAAAGCGATTTTCAAATAGTTGATGTAACTATGTAAACATAGAGTGCGTGTACTCAATAAGAACGGGTTTTTTTTTGAAAGGTCGTCTTTGAATCATGATAACTCTGTGAAATAGTGAGTAAATGAGCTCAGATTTTGCAGCAAAATAGAAAAAATTCTTTTCTATGTATTGGTGAAAGAAGTTTTCA